ATGTTTTTACTGTGCGCCAAATTTCCTGGAGGTCTCATGCTGCCAAAAATCCCCAAAACTACTACATAAGATGATCTTCTAACTCAACAAGAATTACATTTAAGACATGGCAATCTAAACTAGATCCCATCATAGCAGATAAAAAAGAAATTGTAATGTAAGTAAAAATTAGCATGTGCTTATACACAGCTGTGTGCAACTCAGAGACACTGTGCGCCAAATTTCCTGGAGGTCTCATGCTGCCAAAAATCCCCAAAACTACTACATAAGATGATCTTCTAACTCAACAAGAATTACATTTAAGACATGGCAATCTAAACTAGATCCCATCATAGCAGATAAAAAAGAAATTGTAATGTAAGTAAAAATTAGCATGTGCTTATACACAGCTGTGTGCAACTCAGAGACATTTGTTATTTATAAACAGAAACAAACACAAACCAGCAGCAGACATGGCTATTACTTCAAAAGGATGAATTTTGCATATTGAAAGTAAATATGTGCCAGACTGTTTTGGGATGCAGGGGGAAATAATCATAATCATAATAGTCAATGATTGCACTATTTTAGGTTATTTTACTAAATACCCCCCCAAATCCAGTCTCACATTCTAAAAAGAATGCCAGTATAGTGAAAACTGCAAACTCATTTAGAAACTGAAATTGAAAACAGCTGTAACATTTGAATGATGACTGAAAGAAAGGAACATTCACAGTATTTACTGAATGTGATAATATTGGGAATTTAACATGGCCAACCAACTAAAGGATAGCATGAGTGCGTTATTTAAAGACGACTAGGAAGAAAAGGCATTCTAACAATGTATTGTTAATTAATAGACAGCAATGGTAGAATTGACAATCTTAATGCAGAAATGTTAAGAATTTTTAGTGTATTCAGATCTGAACTTATGAAATAGACTACTGATGATAATGTTGAAGAGTTTCATCACCTGAGAAGCAGATCACACAGCACCTACTGAACACACACACACACAGACATATATTTTTGAATCACTAACTTCAGATAACTTGTAGCAAAGAGTTGCAAAAGAGCTCTCTGAACAAGACCTTGGATGCACACTGAAAAAAATACTATTGTTCCAGTGTTTAAAAGGATAAGTAGCTAATTGTAAACCTGTCAGCTTGACATTGATCTGCACTAAAAGAATGGAATAGATAATGTGGAACTTGGTTCAGAGTAAAATCAAATAAAGAGAATTAATATCAATCAACTTGGTGTCATGGAAAAATTATGGGAAGCTAAATAAATATCTTTCTTAATTGATGATGAGACTGGTTCATAAAGCTCATGCTGTTCATACAATGGAGCACTCAGAAGGGAAGCAGTATTGGTATTTATTCTGATTAAGGAAACAAAGTACAGAATCAACATTATATGGATTAACACTGGCTAGAAAGAATCAGTTGCAAATGGGGGACCATCAAATGGCTTTCTTTCTAAGAAGTTGCCCTGCTCCTCTACTACTTAATATTTTTATGGACAGTCCAGAAGAAAATACAAAATTATCACTGACAAAGTTTGTAGGTTACTCCAGGTTTGAGAGAATGGCAAATGCTCTCTTTTTGAGCAGCTGCTGTGATATAAGGAGACATGAATCTTGTTGAAAGGTAGATAACAGCAGATCACATATATTTTAAAACAGCCAGAACTAAGCTTATACATTTAGAAACAAAGAATGAAGGCTGTACTTACAGAATGTGGGATACTTGTATGACTGAGAATCTTACACAGTTTATGATCCTGGTAGATAACTAACTGAACACAAGCACTAGCAGAGTAACACTATCTTATCTTTTGACATAAAGACAAAAGATAAAAAAGATAGGTAGATCCAAACAAGAATTAGGCGGGTTATTGTTCCTCTACCCTGGATCCTGCTGTGTCTCCAATTAGAAGACTTTGTACCACTGTGGTACTCCAACAAGGATACTGATAAATAGCAGAGGATTTAAGGAAGCAAGAAGAGAGTTATACAAAGACAAGAAAACATATAAAAAGCCTGAAAGATTTGCTTATCATTTACAAAAGAACATGCTAAAAGTTTAAGCTAAGGAATAGGTTAAGTCATGATCTGCATGAATATACACAGAACAACACAGCGGCAATTAGAACTTCAATCCACTAAAGTAAAATGCAGCAACATCTGATGCTGAAGATTAAAACTCAACACACTTGATCTGGAAATGAAGTTCACATTTTAAACGCAACATTCAAACCTTAAATTTGGCTGATTGTCTGAAATGTATCTTTAGTTCAAACAATACTTAATTCATAGAAGTCTTATGAACTACAGAAAAAAATATTCCATTTGGCCAATAATCAGTGAACAATATCCTAATAAAAGGAAAACTGAATTTCTTCTTTTATTCATAAGCTACTTACTTCGGCATGTTTTCCCATCTTGCCTTAGTACAAATCCGTCAGGGCATTGGCAAGTGTACGAATCATCATTACTAACACAAAGATGTTCACAGCCATGACTGACTGATTTGCAGATGTCCTTATCTAGGAATAATTTAGATAGTTTGATGAATGACATTTTCAAAACTTTGAAGACTAACAGTAATAATCTCCTAGTAAATAAATAATTTATTCTTCTTTTTGTCAGGCAAGATCTCCTATAAGAAGATCTGCCCCTAAGTAATATGTTTCTTCAGTTGACCTCTGAGTATAAAAAGCATGATAACATAAAATAACTTACTTTTACATGTTTTCTTATCGTCTCTTAATATAAAACCTTCATAGCATTGGCAAACATACGAACTGTCTCTATTCACGCAAATATGCTCACAGCCATGGTCAACAGAATTGCAAACATCTTTATCTGTTGAGAAAATAAGGTTGCCCTATTTAAAACATGCCTACAAATGAACAGATTATAAAGGAAATCTTTGATTAAAGGCAAGGTTACTTACTTCTACATGTTCTTCCATCTTCCCTTAGTGCAAATCCTTCATAGCACTGGCAGACGTATGACTCATCAGCATTCACACAAACATGTTCACAGCCATGGTCAACTGAACTGCAAATGTCTTTATCTGAGAACAGTTATGATATTTGGTTAAAGCACATTAAAGTGAATGTCGCTTGCAGGGAGAAGTAACAGCTTTTATAAAGTCTACTGATATCACTGGAATAAACAGACAAAAATTTAGGCAGCAAACACTTTTGACTATTGGTACATGAAAAATTCTGAGTACTTACTGTTTCTAGTTTATCAATTCAACTATTAAAATACACTATTTTTGTCCACAGAGTCTCTTACAAGCTTCTGGCAGGTCTAACAACACTACTCCTGTATCATAACAGTAAACTGTTGTATTTGTTTGAACACTTCTATGGATCTACATACTGTACATAAAAGTTTATGAGTAATTATCAGAGTACTTACTTCTGCATGTTTTCCCATCTTCTCTCAGCAGAAAACCCTCACGACACTTGCAAACATATGAATCCTCTCCATTAACACAGATATGCTCACAGCCATGGCTGACTGATTTACAGATGTCCCGTCCTGGGAATGATCAATATAAATGTAGGTTTTGAATGACAACATGTTAAAGAAATGTAGATATCAAAAGGAAGTTTGTTGCTTTTTTTTTTGCATGAGAACTGAAAGAAACTCTTTCCTTGCCTGATGCACAGGCAAAAATGTTCAATAGATACCAGTCACTCACTTCTGCACGTCTTGCCATCTTCTCTCAATACGAATCCCTCGCGACACTTGCAGATGTAGGAATTGTCAGCATTAACACAAATATGCTCACAGCCATGGCTGACTGATTTGCAGACATTTTTTCCTGTGAATAATTTGATATATAAAAAATTGTGTTTGTTAGGGGCAAGATGCTCAAAGTCTTAAAATTCCCAGCTACTGAATTTTCTAGTCCTTCCTAGTACACTGAACTCAATCCTGCAAATCATTTATACCACCTGCTGTTCTTTTCAGGGCTTTTTTTTTTAAAAAAAGTGTACAGTGCATTGTAAGAATTCCAGAGTTTGTAAAATTTCACGTGTCCCTAGCCTTCATGTTAGTGACACACAGGGATTTCCAAAGGTACATAAATCCCACATCCACATGGCAAGTAAACTTTCTGGTGAGAAACAGATCTTTCTATCACCATCTTTTTATCTTCAGCAATGAATCTACTCAGACCTGAAACAGTTGTGCTTTTTTTGCTTTGTGCTTAAGCTTGGAAGGTGTTTGTCTTTTTTCTGTAAAGTAGGATTACAGAAGTTTGGTGTATGTAGTATTTAAGGGTAGTGAGAAAGACTCTATGATCCTGCAGTGAAATTCTGTAGAATTGTCACCTACAACTGGCCAAGCAGATATTTGGCACTTATATAAAATTAATATCTCAAAATAACATAAAACACAACCTATTAATTAACATTAGATAAACTAGCATCCTGCTCTCAGGCTACTTTTAAATGGCACAGACATTTAGGGTGTGATTCAGGTGCCTAAAAGTATGGACTCAGTACCACTTTAGATGCCTCAGCATATCCAAGATATTGACGTGTTGCTGGCAAATATGAGGGAAAATTATGACCTCTTGAAATGCCTGAGCATTTAAAATTACACTGGGTTGTAACATTTAGGCATTCAAATCCCACCTTACAGATTTCTTCTATGTGTGTAATAAGACTCTAACTCTGAGCGGGTGAATAGTAACTTACGTTTACATGTTTTCCCATCGTTACGAAGCCTGTATCCTTCAAAACACTGACAAGTGTAAGATCTGTCACCATTTACACACAAATGTTCACAGCCATGATCAGTCAGAGCACAGTAGTCAACGCCTGTAGGAGCAATTGAAGTTATTAAAAAACTTTGCCAGTAATGAACCAATGATTTTTCATCTCTAGTATTTACATTCTATATGCAAGTAATTATAAATGCACAGAACTACTTATACAGTAATTCAGTTCCTTATCTGATGACATAGTTATAGCTACAATAAAACGTCAGAGGGCCCAGTGATGTACTTTCCACTGTTTGCTTTAAGCAGAGTTAGGAAATAAGACTTTTCTATGCTTAACCACAGCTCAGCAGAGTCCACGTCTCAGTATTTAGAAAGTGAATGAAAAAAACCCCAACAAAACACTTTGGCAATGATTTTATATAAGACATTGGTAAAGACATAAAAGGTACCCTGTGAACATTCCTTAAATAGTCTCTAAATGGCCTGATGCGAAGGTGGCAGTCCCCAGAACTCTCTTGTGGACCATGGCAGCAAGCAGAAAACCTCTCAGAAACATCAGTGGGATTTGGCTTAGACTAGTCAAGAGTTTGCAAAGAGTTGCAAATTACAAGTACTGTCAAATATGGTCCACGTTTCATCTCAAATTTCCCAAGTGTTTCTTCTCTGTAACATAAAGACATAGGACTCCTGGGACCTTGCAGACAGCACTTACTACTGTCTATTGGCTACACACATACATTTTTTTTGTAATTAGTTGTCAGAGTATAGATTTGTTTACCATTCAAGTGTTCTCACAGCTCTTAAGATACTTGTGCCAGTGTACAAGACACTAGAATTATAATTCCCAGATGTTTTCCCATTAAGAGTGGTATAAATTAAATCCTAATCCCTTCCATTCAACTGCTCTTTCAGGAAATTGTAAAGTGCCAAAACTCTCTTCATGGTAGCCTAAAAATGTTCAAGGGATTCAATGATAAATCTATTTCCTAAAAATATATGAGGAGAGGCTTATGCTGGCAAGCAGAAGAGCTATTCAAAAGGGCCTAGTTTCATTGCACAATAGAAGCCACAGCACTGTTTTCATAGAATATCCTGAGTTGGAAGGGACCCACTAAGACCATTAAAGTCCAACTCCTGGACCTACACAGGACAGCCCCAAAAACCACATCATGTGCCTGAGAGTGTTGTCCAAACACTTCTTGAACTCTGCTTGGATAGGGCTCCAAGAACAGCCTGGAGGAAAATAACTCAGGAATGAAAAATCAACTCTTTTTACATAAAGGAAAAGGGATTTTCCATTTGCAAGTTGATGAAACTCCATAGTTTGTCTATTTCTAAATTTCAGTAGTTCTACAGATAAAGGTCTAGATAAATTGTTTCTAGTAGATCCTATTGCTGTCACATGTACACTAGTTCTGCTTTTGCATTACAGTCTGCCCCCTTCTACAGAGCTGTGTTGGCAGACAGAAGCAAAGTCCATCAAGGTATTGGATGAGGCTAAAAAAGTTAGTATGGAGGCAAAGGCAAAGTTAAATACAAAGACAAATTGCTTGCCCTCATTTGCCTCACTTCTCTCTAAATCGTTTTTGTTACTGAGGACTTACGGTTTGACATCTCCTAACACTATGTTGCCTGACTGCAAGAAAAAGGGCAAACCCTGGAGCTGCTCCAACACTCAACAAGCTTGAGAAATAATGTATGTTCAAAAAGAGTGATCAAAAGCCTCATACCAGAGAGCTCCAAGAAAAGTCTACAGGCAAAGTGTATTCACATTCCTCTTTTCCTGGCCCTTTCTATACATTATTTTTCCAGAGAAGAGGGAAATTCAACTATTTGTGAAATCACAACAATTCTCAATGATCATTAGATTTCTACAGGGTGGAGAGCTGTCAGGATAACTTTCTTTCGCATATTAAGGGGTTCCCATGTTACATGTAAAGCTCAGTGTGGGACTCTCAGCTCTTGTCCAGCTCCAGGTAAGGTGATGCAGTTTGCCTAAGGGTCACTGCTGTCCAGATAACCTGTCAGTCAGACACATTTGCCACATGACTGTAAAACTGTCCTCAACGTCTGGGGATCAAACAGGATAAACAAGGCTTTCAAAACTTTTCTGAATATGTGGGGACTAATAGTTATCTTGACAAGTATTCTTTCCTAAATCCTTTTTCCATCTGTTTCTTCTTTCAAATCATTATGAAAGTATTACTGAAATGCAGATTGTAAGAATAAATTGAAGGTATGTCCTCTTCCCTGTATGAAAACAGAAACCCAGGTGAGCTGAGATCAAGGAGGGTCTCACAAGACTTACGTGTGCAGGTTTTTAGGTCCTCATTGATGACAAATCCTTCAGAACACTGGCAGACATAGGAGTCATCAGTATTTAGGCACAGTTGCTCACAGCCGTGATTGTTTTCAGCACAGTGGTCCACTCCTATTGATTTGTGTTAATAATTGAAGAAACCACATTGGTGTCTTAGATAAATACACTGTAATGCTACAACTGGTACATGGTGCCTTTGCAGAGCAAGGAGGAAACATCAGTACAGCTTTTTATTTATGCAGTATCCCAATTTATTTGAGTAATCTGAGTTAACAACACCAAACTGAAATGAATACAACAACCCCACTTGGCAGATAACAAACTTGATGAAGTGCAGATCTCCCTTGCCAAAAATCATAACAGAAAACTAACACAAAGCGGAGTCAAGGGAGAACCCTGAAGCCCTGCCTGGTTGTACCCACAGAATCACGCTTCCCTTTAAAAAACAAGACTCTTCTGCTCAACATAAAATTTATCAGACAGTATGAATATTAGTAAATTTTTAAATAGAAATTATGGCTTTCAGATTATTTCATAAACATTAAATTCTTTTTTCAACAGGATAAGAAATCACCAATTTAGAATTCTAATCTGCCAGAAGGTTCAAGCAGTTAAAGCCAGTGGGGGACAGATACAAACTATCAATGTGAGAGTGCCTTAACATGTACCACTTACTTGAATTTTGTATTCCTATTCCAAGTAAAATAAAATGGAATATTGTTTAAAATATTGTATGCAACTGGTTGTGTGAAAGATGAAAGGTGGGGAGAGGGAGAGAGAGGCATGAATTGGGTTTAAAAAATACATTGTCTCATAGAGTGGACAGCAAAGCTGTATGGTTTGATATGTTCACTTGCAGATGTACCATGCAATCTGCTGACTCTGTGAGTATAGAAAAAAGACATTCTAGAAAAAAAGCTTTGAACTTCTTCGTAATATTTTACTGCTGTTTTGTTAATGGCTATTTTTGGTCATATAGGCCCAAACCACCTTAGCTTAACTTGATCAGAAATAGTGGAGTTTTGCCAGACACAAACACAGTCTCTCATGTCTCTATCTGCAAATCATTTACAGATGTGACAGTCATGTCTGCAGCAATTTGTTTACATAAAAATAAATCTGTACTTAATGTAAAATCACTTAATTATAAATATTTCTGTTTATTCATTTACTTAACTAAGCAACGAGTTTGCAGTAATTGGTCCAGATTTACTATTATACATAGACTGACTACGTAGGCTTGAATAAGTGAAGCTGAGGTGTCAGTTTTTACTAGCTAAAGCAAATTCCAGCTGGAACATTCTCCTTTTTCCAAGACTTCACATCATCATGAAGAGGGTTGTATAACTTTTCAGAGCACAAAAAATGTGTGTGTGGGGGGGAAAGAGAAAATACCCCCTCCTCCATATTCTCTGTGAAAAATTACATCTGTTTGGCACCATCTTTTACATTACAAACACACAGACTAACATGAATTTTTAACACTTAAATACTTTGGGTTCTCACACAGAATCCTTTAAC